AGACAAGATCAAGATTGAAGCATACATTAGGAAAGTTTGAAAGTCCAATTACATTTACTTTTAAACATTTTAAAGCTACTGTCGGACAGGAAAAAATATTCATAACGTGGATAAAACATGGTACATTCCTTTAAATTTTGGTTGTAGTTTATGATTTTTAAATTCCTGCACGGACCTGACAGATGTTTCTCTTTCCTGTCATCCCACTCAGTTATTAAATCTCCCTTGAAATGTAAAAACGTTTCCGTGTTACATGATGCGATTGAGATTTTCAGTATTCATAAAACACTTTGCATGACCTAAGTTTATTGAGTTATATGACCGGCTCCTTTACGTTCAATGTATTTTCCCTGTCACTTTTATCCCCCGCCGGTGACGGCATGAATATCTTCTTCTTCATTGTTTTACTTGTTGATTGAAAATATGATTAGATTAAGAAGTTTTTTTAAGCGAATTTGATTTTACCGACAAAGAGTTGGGTAAAATTTGTACTTGTTGATAGAAAACGTCTAATGTTAAACATGTCATCTTTGGTTAAAACTTGTTTCAGCTTGGAGTGGTCAAACCACTTGCCGTTACTCTAAGGTTCTTTCAGGCTGCACTCAAACATTTTTTGAAGGGTGAGACTCCAAAAATTAACCCAAACCAAAAATCAAAGAAACGTATCATTTTATTAATTTTTAATCGCATAATAAATACTATTTCCGTGACAGCAGCTTCAGAATATATTCTTGCTTTTTCTTAGCTAATAATGAGTGATAATTAAATCAATCCTTAAAATCCAATCATGTTTGAAATAAATGAAAGGAATGTCTCTTATGCTAGTCTCTCACGTATTCCACGGTTGTTGTATTTCGCCCTCTTTTATCTGTAATTGTGTTTAACTAGTACTATTTACTTCAAGGGCATGCTCACTTAATCAGTCAGTTTGTCATTTAAACGGTCAGTTGCCCCTCTTTGTGTGTGCGTGTTGTTTTTTTGTTTTTTAATTTGTATGTTTTGTTGCGGTCTTTTGTAGTACGTGATGTAAGTAATATGATGAAAACATTAAAAAAAATTAATTAATTATTTTAAGCCTGTTTTTTCCCTTACGTATGTAGGAAGTGGCCAGATCAAGAAAAAAGGGTTTGGGGCATACGAGACCTCATCGAGGGCTTCTCTCTACTCCCTTCCTATTGTTCTCCAAAATGCTGCACACCAATGAGAATGTGCCATTAATTTTTTAAAATATTTTAGGTATGAAAACAAACTAAAAGAATTTTCTGGACCAGGTAGCTTTCCCTGGAATGATATAAAATGATGCAAACCTTTACAATTTCCATTGCTAAGTTTTGGAATTTACAAGTGAGATCTCCCACCGATTCCGGAGAGAAGAGTATGATGGACGTCAAACATACATTTCTAGTAAGCGAGTCTTAAATGTTTCAAGATTAATCCATTTTTGCTAGTACAGGAAGCATTTCTGAAATAAGAAAATAGCACCTTGTTAGAGCGTTAACAATCACTGAGGTTTCCCTTGGAAATTTCAAAATTACTTCTTTCATGTCATGTTGTGGTTAAAAATGATAATTGTCGATTTGTAATAGATCCTTTGTCGTGATTCAAAGGAAAACTTATAGTTATCGATTTAACACTGCTTCCTCATCTGAATTTCAGCAAATTGTCGTAGTTCATTTGATAATTAACTTTTTTCCATTTCAATTTGAAATGACATTAATCATGTGATGCGTGACTTTTTCTTTACGGTGACTTTCGGATACTCTAAGGCCCAGATGATCATAAAGCAATTTGATTTTGAGGTCAGTCGCAAACATTCAAAGGTACATGGTGTTTCTTTTCTTAAAACTCCGGCATCAAAACTAAGTTAATTTTCGGCTGTTTTCTAAGTTCCGCTGTGCTCCGCTAGGCTAGCTGAAAAAAATCAGGATAACACCACTTGTCAGTTGGTATGAAATTGCTTTTCCAGCAAAAAAACGCAAGCTCATATCGAAATGCCACAGAGGCCAAAGCCGCTTTTGCTCATATGAAAAGGCATATGAAAATTCTCTTTTTTTCTTTTTTCAACAAAACAAAAACATTAAACTGTTTGAGAGTAATGTCTTGTTCATCGTGACATCAGTTGAGAGTAAGTCTTTAACAATCAGCAGTATATATCTCAATTTATAAATGTGTCCAAATGAATGCCTCATTCAGGCTGTATATGATGAGCAACGCATTAGCAAGCAAAGGTTTCATGTTATTTCACGATGTTTGCTTAATCCGAGATCTTTTCGTTTTTACCTCCAGGGAAATACAATTTGTTTTTATCTATCTAGCAAGATTTTAGCCATTTCTATCCTGATTAGGAGCCGGTTAACTTATTGTTTGTAATGCTATGTACTGCCTCCTAATTTACGCATAAGAGATTTAGCTTGCTTTAAGTATTTTCCGTTTTCACGGAAACCTGCAACACCTGCCTCTAGTTGTCTGAAGATCGATTAGACAAACAAAAATTTCGTCGATCTGATATTATTATAACTTTGTGGCTTGGTCTCAACTTTTTATGCTCTCATTTAACACAATTACGAACAGGAACCATACGTTCTCTAGAAACTTCGTCTTAGTAACAAGAACTTAAGATCCTGCAAGCAGATAGCGAAATATTTATTTCACGATATCTTTGCTTCATATTCTTTTCAAGGTTATCATGAACAAAAAAAGAACATGCTAAGAGATTTATTAAGTTTGCGTCAATGTCACTCGATAAATTGACGCACAATCTTTGTGTCGCCCTTTACAATCAGGAGTATTTCTAAACAGAAGGTTACAATTATATTTCGAAACTATTTCCTCTATTGCCCTAATTCTATAAAAAAAGGATAAAGATAACTTAGGTGGAAAATTATCTATCACGGTAACAAATATTTCTAATCGCCCACTGAAGAACCATGGAGTATTCTAGGCGAACGTGTTGATGCTTTAACACCTAGCTGTTAGCACTTCCTGAAAAACTCCCAAAAAGCCAAATTTGATTATCAAGGTTTTGGGGTCGGAGGCCATTGTCTGAGATCAGTTTCAATTTGCAAAGCAGTCAATACGAATCTGAAAAGATTCCCACGCGGTTTTAAAGACCAACCCCTCGAGATTGAAACGGTGCAGAAGTTTATTTGTATGGTTAGTTAATTCACTCAAAGATACATCTTCCGTTTCGAATTGTCACGCCTCAGTCGTTTTACGATTAGTTCAAGCTAGAATAAAAACGGTTAGTGCATTTCGTAACCTTTCCGTTGATATATTATGGTGATTACGCTTCAAATTGCTCGTTAACAACTTTTTACGTGAACGACACCCGTGAAGGTCTACCGTAAGCTCGAGTTAAACATAATTTTCAAAGGGGAACCCCTTCAAATGTGTTTAAAAATACTTTTTGAACTGCACTCTCAAGCCATCATGAAACAGTTATGTGTTTTAATCAAGTCAATTGCTAAAATCCAGGCTTTTTAAACATTTCCATAGAAAATTTTTCATCTATTGACAGCGGGTGCGAAAGGTTTTCACAAAGAGGTTTTTTCGAAGCTATCAGACACCTCTTTAGAAAATTTTTGGAGCGGATATTCCAGTAAATCCCCTTAAAACACACATCGATGTTTGCAGAATACAGTTCCTTTCAGAGTAGCCAAAATTTTTTAAACGTTTGATGCACGATTCTTCGCAGTAGATAAAAGTTATATATGAACTTCATATATTCATTGTAACCAAAATTTTTTATGTCAGGGTAATTTTCCTTTTTGACTTCAGGTTCCTAAATTTGACACAATCGGCGATTTTGCAACATCACTTAAACATTGTGCAAGATAACGATTACCTTTATGGGTAAAACCAATGACAGTGAAACAATTCCAAGTTCTCCTAAGAAACTCTACGGAAGAGCATTCTAGAATAGTGCGGTCACGTTCCAATACTCAGCTGTCAGCACTTTCATATAAACCTCCACATGTTAGTTAGTAAGAGTCGACGATGAGGTAAATGACACGTAAAATATGAGGGTGTCAGTTAATAGGTCATGGAAAGTAAATTCAAGGCACTTAAAAAGAAGCAAAAAAGAACACAGGCCAACATTTGTATTTTCACCAGATCTTTCAAACGAAGTTTACAGAGAGGTTCCTTTCTGACTGGCCGAAGTTTTTCTCTATCTCCTTTTTAACTTCAGGTTCCTGAATTTTGAGGATGTTTTCTCATAAATATTATGGTGGGACAAAAACATCGTAATTAGAAAGGGCGACGCCAGGAAGCAACAACCCACAATATGCATAAATAGATCAGACTTAAAGAAGGTCTAAATGAGCTAAGAAAAACAAATATCTTTGACCTCTGCTCCAAGTTAAGCAGCAGTTGATAGAAAAATCATACAAGAAGCTAGGTCAGTCAAGCAGACAATAAAGCTGCTCACAGAACGGTGAATGTACAAACTATTTGTTATCAAATTTACCTATCTGATACATCATCAAGTTCTGGCACGTTCACCGTGGCGACCGTAAAAGGTACTCGAGGTGTTCTCTTACCAGGAGTCTTCAATTTATTTCTTTCCAGATTGCATTTGTAATTATGCTGCCACACGGAAAAACGCAATCGAACGACACTTCACT